CTGAAAGGGCGAGCATGTTTTGGTGTGAGAGGGATTCGAACCCGGGACCCTCAGATTGCGAGTCGAGTGCCTTATCCACCTGGCCATGCCGGGCCGTGAACTACAGATGTAAATGTTTGTGACCAAAAGTCAAAAGTTAAAACTGCAACAATATACATTTTCCTACTGCATAATTTCTCATGAGTTTTATGTAAACTGAACAAAATGTATTAATGTATATTAATCAGTTAAGAGTTTGAAACATCTTTAGCAAAGGTCAAGTTTAATTTTTATTTCTAGATTTCACAGTGGGAAATACAAATAACTTCTATACAGAAACTAAATGTTATAATTAGTGTCCTCTTCACATGATCAGGAGTACGTAAGAATGAATTAATACGAATGCAAGATATTAACAGTGTCCTTTAAGATTATAAGTTAAGATATAGATAACAGAATGAGTACAAGAGATAAAAAAGTCTCCTTTAACACTAATTTAAGATACAGATAACAAAATGGGTTTAAGAGATACACAATATCATCTAAGACTAAGTTAGGATATAGATAACAGAATGGGTTTATGAGATATACAATGTCCCCTAAGACTAAGTTAAGGTATAAAATAACAGAATGGGTTCAAGAGATACACAATATCCTCTAAGACTAAGTTAAGATATAGATAACAGAATGGGTGCAAGAGATACACAATGTCCCCTATGATTAAGTTAAGATATAAGTAACATAATGGGTACAAGATATACACAATGCCCTCTAAGACTAAGTTAAGATATAGATAATAGAATGGGTACAAGAGATACACAATGTTCTCTAAGACTAAGTTAAGATATAGATAACAGAATGGGTACAAGAGATACACAATGCCCTCTAAGACTAAGTTCAGATATAGATAACAGAATGGGTTCAAGAGATACACAATGTTCTCTAACACTAAGTTAAAATATAAATAACAGAATGGGTTCAAGAGATACACAATGTTCTCTAAGACTAAGTTATAATATAGATAACAGAATGGGTTCAAGAGATACACAATGTTCTCTAAGACTAAGTTCAGATATAGATAAGCGATATCCTTTAAAATTATAAATATAAACTACAAAATGTATTTTAGAAATCAGAAAAGAGTGAGTAAAGTAAATGTTTTTCACTAATAAACTAAAAGAAAAACATAGGCTGTTGTAAGACTTCTTCAAGGAGTTAAGATGTACAGGATGTTTTTCATCATTCAGGACGAGTGTATAAGCTACTAAATGTATTCTAAGAAGCAGTTATTACTTCATGTTCTTCTATTTGTGGATCCTTACAATCACATTTTTGTTTACTTTTCAGTCTTTCAAATTGCCAACCTATGCTCTTCTGGGAACTTACACTTATGATTTGTTTTAACACTTAAGTTTGGGGTCACTAACAAAGTTACACCCTAAAACTAGTAGGGCATTAACTGAATTATTTTACTATAAACACATTGTATAAAGGTATTTAAAGCTCTGTTTTTAAACCTACTCTGTTGGTTTTAATAACAGTTAAGTATATGTAGTCCATCGTATTTGTAGGTATAAAATATCATATCTTCGAATTAATCAAGAACTATACCTATTAGTGTGCATTTTTGTGTTTACAAATACATGTGAAACTCATTTGCTCATTTTATTATTATTTCTTGGATCTTCATTAACAGGTGAGCTTGACGAGATGTGTGGCCTGGACAAACGTTGTTCTGTTAAAAATTCCTATTGTTCAGAAGACAGATGTCGGTGTCTCAGCGGCTATACCCAAAAAAACCAACAATGTATAAAGGGTAATGTTTTCTTTTGTTGAAAGTCACAGTGGCTATATCTAAACAAACAAATAAAGGGTAACATTTTCTATTGTTGAAGGTCACAGTAGCTATATCTAAATAAACAAATAAAGGGTAACATTTTCTATTGTTGCTACTGTGACTTTCAATAATAGAAAATGTTACCCTTTATACATTGTTGGTTTGTTTGGATATAGCCACTGTGACTTTCAACAATAGAAAATGTTACCCTTTATTTGTTTATTTAGATATAGCTACTGTGACCTTCAACAATAGAAAATGTTACCCTTTATTTGTTTGTTTAGATATAGCCACTGTGACCTTCAACAATAGAAAATGTTACCCTTTATTTGTTTATTTAGATATAGCTACTGTGACCTTCTATATCCAAACAAACCAACAATGTATAAAGAGTAACATCTTCTATTGTTGAAAGTCACAGTGGCTATATCCAAACAAACCAACAATGTATAAAGGGTAACATTTTCTATTATTAGAAGTTACGCTAGCTTTACACAGAGAAACAAATATTGTGTAAAGAATAGAACTTTATGTTATTCTGTATTTCAGTGGCTATACACAAACAAAGAGAATGCGTAAAGGATAAAAGTGCCTGTTGTTCAGGTTCACAGTGGCTGTTCATAATGAAACAAAGATTGTTTAAAGGAACAAAAACAGAGAGTGTATAATGGGTAATCTTCTTTATTGTTCAGTGTTACATATCTGTAAGTTTGATGTTTCATTTAAGCTGCTTTTCCTGCAAAATTATTTTTCTCAGTGTTATAATTTCTATAATAATTGCTTTTGTTTATATATCAACATAGAATCAATCCCCCTTTTCTAAGCCTAAGTAACCATAAATTGAAAGGAACTTTTTTTGTCCGTATTAGACAACTGTTTATTTCATTATTATTTTTATTTTAACCATAATTGGAGTTTAGTTTGAAAAAAAAAAGAGTCGGCAGAATTTCAAAATGGAATATGGAGACCCTTCCAAACTTGGGTGTTCGGGAATATTTTATTCCTCTTCACCTAAGCCTAAGTAACTCATAAATTGAAAGTTATATTTATAAATATGACCGAGTGGATCTATTACGATCTCAGTGAACTGATTAGCGAGACGGTAGTTAAAGATTAATAAATAAAGGTAAAAACACATGCAGATGAAGCAAAGTCAGAATCTAAAAAATAACGAATAAATACAACAACTAAAAATTGATTATTGGAGAGTGGGTGATGAATAGAAGAAAGGTATTTACAGAGAAATTCTAGTATGACTTAACAAAAAGTAAATTACTAAGACTGCTTGAAATTACGAAACAGGGAAAAGGAAGGGAAGTGTATAGGAATGGAAATAATTATAGAAAGTGTTTGTTTGAATTTCGCACAAAGCTACACGAGGGCTATCTGCGCTAGCCGTCCCTAATTT